TGTATCTGCTAATTTAAATGACCAGATGAAACAATTCACACAACCACATGGCGCAGAGCACTCTCGACTCCTCCTGTGCACTATATTTTCCATTTCCTCAACAGCATACTATATTTTCAAGAACTACCGTGTAAAACACCTCGATTTTCTAGTGGAGACCGAGTATTGGTGTGGTTATGAATTTTGTGACAAAATTCTGTTGATCGTACTCGGTTTTAAAGACGCAACTAAAACTGAGAACCAACTTGTGATGCAACGTTTTCAGTAGCGAATACAGTACTGCTGTCTTGGTTCAGGACCATACTACGACAAGACATGAGGCAAATTAAAATTTCTACTGAATTTTCACTTATATGCACACAAAATGTGTAAACACGATACCTTACCCGGTTTTGTCGCGCCTAGATTTCCCCTCCTCCACGTTTTCTCACAGAAAGCATGGATACAGTGCTACGATGTCCTAAAACCCCAAACGGTGACATTGAGCAAGCATGAAGCTCAACTCTCGCCGTGTTACACAGATGTCGAAACTGTGAGTCAATGCAGGCGACGAGTACAGGGGCTTTATGGGTATTGTAGTTTTTTTGAGTCCCACACAATTAGGGAACGAAGTGTGCAGAAACCACACCACCAACGCAAAATCCGCGCAAATCAGAAAGATACGTCTTCTGTATTATTATTATTCGAGGTGAATGTCATCGTCTCCCAGGGTATGCTAAGTGAATTTTAAAAGGTCAAAGCCACCCACACGACAAGTTAGGGAATTTAAGAAAAACAAGCACGCAAAAATGAGCATACATCAATTTATACAGACATTTTTACTGAATTAGCATCAAACTGAAAAGTCTGCCTGAGCTTTAGCAATAATGTACAGTATTTTTCGTTCATTGGCAGTCTTGGACAGAAGAAATCGCTCTTACGGATTAAAAAAAAAAATACCCCGTTCACGTGACAATGTCTGCTCCCTGTGCGGCCTCAGCGGCTCGCGAAAGTTTATTCCTGCACGAGCTCCAGTCCCCGGTTCGCTCTTCTCTCCAATCGGTGCGGCTCGCGCGGTCATGGCGCGGAGACTCGAGCGGTTCTGCAGCCCAGGAAAGGGCCACGGGCTCCGGGCGCTCGCCCCGCTCAGGCCCGGGGAGCTGCTGTACACGGCCGAGCCCTTCGCCTGCACGGTTTCCACGAGAGGAAGAGGGTCCACCTGCGAGAGCTGCTTTTCCAGGTAATGCATACAAATACCACTCCGCACCTGAGAAGTAAGTAATGCTTTTTTTCCCCAATAAGAATGCGTTTTTATTTGATTTGGAGCTCCGTGCGGATGGAGTGGAGTAAAAGTCGTATTTGGGAAATGCTGCCAATCTGTTTTTTTAATGCTGCAGATCTTTTTGCGCGTTGCATCCACATTGCCTGCGATACATTTTTATTTGCTTTATTCTTTATCTTATCTTATTCCCATCCAGCTTTATTATCACAATTATTTCTCTGATTATTTACGATTATCTTAATGAAATGTTATTCAATTGTATTTAGAAAAGTAGGTAATGATGAAAGTTGTATTTTCCACTGAGGGATACGTGTGCTGTCACCGGAGCGCACTTCGAATAGTGGATTGTGAACAAGAATTATGAAGTATGAAGATGCTGGTTACTGAGTTATTGGACGAGCAATATGCTACGTTATTACAACGTTTTACTGAATCGTATACTGTACTGTACGCATTTCGTTAGGTTTCAGACAAAGGTCTTGTTGTTTCTGATGCATTACAACTTTGTAATGTACAGCTTTTAAATCTTAGGCGCTACATCATTGTCCAGTTGTCGCCACCAAATGGTTATAATTTGCGATGCGAGTGGCTCTCTGAGATGACTATAAACGAGCTGAGCATTGCATGTGTTGTGGAATTAGAAGATTGTGCTGCCCTGATCCAGTGAAAGGGCATCTTGTCACGGTGATGTGTTAAACACAAAATAGCACATCACGATGTTAGACGTCGGATTTTTTATTGTAAATTAAACCATCCCGTATTTAAAGGGTTACTGGGCAATTGCGTTGCTCTTCCACAAATTATCAGCATAAAAAAGGCAACTGTTTTAAATTGGGTTAACGGGAATAAAAAATGTTTGTGGTTTAAATGTTCACTAGCTGGATGTACTGTACAACATGGGTAAATCTTCCAAAAGGTCTACAGTACAGTCAGTGAATTAACCAGTTAATTTCACTTGGTTCTTACTTCACCTACAATACTTTTCACTTGCCAGAGACGTGATAAACTGTGTAATTAGGCAGTTGTTTTAAGCAAGCTTTTGGGTAGGACTGATAGCCATGTGTCTGGGATCCTGCCGCCCTCCTGTGTGTGAGAATCTGGGGGCTGTGCAGGTACAGGACAGCCGGTTTTAGGAGTGTGTGCCTTCTAAACTAATTTTTGCGGTCATTTTGTTTTTTTTTTGTGGAAAAAACGCCGGTTTGCAAATACTGGAGTTGTCTAAAGTTTTAACGAAAAACCTGGGAAGATGGTAATAATAATGTAGATATGAAACGTGCGTTATTTTTTTCTGCCTTTTATTCCTAAGAAAGACACAAACTGCTTCCTGACGTGAACGTCAATGGGGAATCTTCCACACTGCTCCTGCGGCGGGAGATGGGATGAGCTTTGCGCTAGCAGCAGGGATTCTTTTCTTCTGCTTTCTTTGAAACGCAAGTGTGCAGAGGTGCCCGTTCAGAGCTGCAGTACTGTGTGAGCGGCCGTGACAGCCGATGGAACGAGCTTTCGCGCCCGCACACCAGTTAGGCTGCCGTGAGCTGAACTGGCCGGCGGAGGGAGCTCTTGGCTTCCCAGCCTGAGCGTCTCCCGGACCAGGTCCTGGCGCCTTGCCTGGGCCGGGGGCTGAAGGCGACGATCTGGCTCGCCATCGCTGACGAGACCAAGGTCGCCTCAGGCACCGAGAGGCCCCGGGTGGAGGTCCCAGCTGAGAGCCTCCAGTGGTCGTCGCTAACCCCCCCAGGGGCCTACTGGCAGGCCTGGGCTATCTGGAGGAACAGGGGTCAGCGCTGCCAGAAACATGTGTGGCAGGTAGAAGCGATTCATGGTAATTTCTGAGGCCGTTCAGTTCAAGGGTCCTTTTTTGTATTTATTTCAGAGCATGTATTACTATTGCTCTATTACCCAATAGTGCATTTATTGGTATGCTTAATAATCTCTGTCTTGGAAATCCCACTTTAACTGTACAGGCTTTTAGAGTTGTATCCAATTCTTAAAGGGTTGTTTCTGGGCAAAAAAGGACACCCTTAGCTCATATGCTGTCATACTGTATGATAGTGTGGTCAGTGGCCAGTGTTAAAAAGTAATGTAATTTAATGTTGGCTTTGCAGTCACTAATGCTAATGTATAGTTTCTACAACGTGTTCCTGCACATACTGTTTTGTGTTTGGAGCTGTTACAGATTACCGGACATGCTTGTAAAAGATATTCATGTTATAATGACGGGTCTCTCTGTTCAGCCTCTGAGTATGTGATTGTACACTGCCAGTCACAATATGCTGTAATGGCTTTTGGCTTTCATTTCTTACAGGGCTGTGTAGCTTCACAAAATTGTAGCCTTCACTGTGAATTTCCTAAGTGTAGTTAACAATGCAGTGTTGTGTTCTTTAGTTGAAGTTGATCAACAAAGACTTCTTTTTTTTGCCTGTAATCACTCTTCTTGGTATATAAAAGAGCCAGATTCCTTCAGAATATGAACATGCGGGCTCTTGAGAGGCACAGCCAGAAAAGGATATTGCTCAGAATGGCAGACGAGACCTGGGTTGTCACAAGCTGTGACCTGGGTTTCCCAAGAAGTAGTGCTTGGCAGAGCTCTGTTCCACTTTAGGTATTAGTCATCCAGAGCCCTCTCTGCTGTTTGGGGAAAATGGCTGTTCCTGGGACTTACTGAATGCCTACAAGCCTACAGGTGAGAGACGGGCTGCTCCTCCATCTGGGGAGTTACAGAAGTTTAAGCACTGCAGAGCCTGTCGCCTCTTGATAACTAAGGTTTCTGATAGATGGGTGTGTTGTGGGAGTTCCCCTTTATTCTTCCTGTGTAGTGTAACAGGAGTTGTAGCTCCTGTAAACCCTGACTTTTAGAACTATCTGTGATTTCAGGTTTGGTGGGAATGTAATAATTCAAAATCACTACTGTAAGCACTCTTGCTTATTATATGGCATTGCAAAAAGAAACATTTTGCATCCACTCGATTGACTGGCTGATGAATGTGTATATATTTCTGAAGTCTGATTTAGGGGAAGTCTGTTCAGCAAAGTCACAGTTGAAATAGAGCCTGCACTTTCGTGAAACATGTGACATGGAGCCATCCTAACAGACACCTGTCCTCCTGTGTTTGTCCATAGATCAGTCCCTGGAAACACAGACCTCCTCGGAAGACAGGATACTTTAAGGATGTGCTAAAAGAGGAGGTGGATGCTTCATCTCTATCTGAATACAGACTCTGAACCTCTTAAATTAAATGCTCTAGGCTTTGGCTTGGAGTCGAAAGGAGTTTTTCCCATCACGGATCCAGCCTGGGTGTCTCCTTTCCCAGTAGCACCAGCCCCCTGAAACGGCACCAGGATCAACTGAAGTGAAAAAGTCAGCTGGCTATTCTGAGCCTCTTTATTGCACGATAGAGGCTGCTGCCACAGCTATTGCAGGATATGAGCATCTGAGCCCTTTAACTGCATTTGGCGCAACGAGGCACCTGTCCCTGTTAGTCAAGGCAGCCAGAACGGATCATCCGGATCTTCTACCACTTCTGGCCGAGCCCTGTCCTCCAGGGGGGCCGACTCTTCCGTGTGTGTGGCAAGATCATCCTCGACTGCGTCAGGAGTTCGCTCTGCTGTTTTTGAGATGGTGTCCAAGATGCTGCCTTGGGCTGAATGGAGTCCAGGCCTGTGTTGATCGTGCGACAGACTGCACGTTGATGATCCATCGGGATCTGATCCGGACCCCTGTCCTGTTGGAGAGAATGGTGACGGCTCTGGAGAGCAGGGAAGGGTTTTCATCCTCCTCCAGGGATGCCTTCCCAGGCAGACGCACTTCCAGACACCAGTAACCCTTCCCAGTGGTCTCAGACAGATCTGAAGCCTCTCCTCTGCAACATGAGGAGAAGGGAAAAAGTGCCTCTCTTGAAATCCTATCGGTGACTATTGGCAAAAATGGAGTTCCCCAAAACCCAGTGTTAATAGGGTTTATTTAAGCGTTTCTAGTTTGGATAAGGCTGTTGTGCCATTGAGGCAGACAGATGAACTGCACTATTGAGCTTAAAAACTGCAAAATGATTTCAAACAGGTGTAATCAATTCCAGAGATAAATGGATTTCCAAATTCATTGCTGACCATGTGTTTTGGCAGGCAGGACAATGATGGACAGTGAAGGTTTTTGTCGTTTTTCTGCTATATTAACATGTGAAGGCTGACCTCTGTAATACTGTAATTTCAACATCTTCATCTTCTTCTGTTTGTTCGGGGGTCCATGCGAATCTTAAATCTTTGTTGCTTTGCTTTGTGTTAACTTTGGAAACGCCTCTGTAAAATGCCCGACAGCAGGTTAGGTCAAACCATTCATTTGCAAGTTTCATGCAGCCTCCGTCTAGCTCAGGTGTGCCAGATGGCGAAATGCTGGGTGACTCATGCTGCTCTGCTCAAGAAAGGAAATAGAAATCGTAAATAGTATTGGTGATAGCTATATCCTTCTGTAAAAATATACTGAGTGCTCAGTTTCTTTTGTGCAGAACTTGTGCAAGTCTGAAGGATTTATTCAGGTTTTTAAATGCAAATATTAAGCAAATATGGGTCAAATAGTCTTGAAGGCTTTTGGTAAAAGCAATACACACTGTCTAAATGAAATAAATGAAGAAATTACCGTACATGCTGTGATGGACTGGCTCCCTGTCGGGGGTTTACCCTGCCTTGTGCTTGTTTCTTGTCAGGATAGTCACGACCCTGTGTTGGTTAAAGCAGTTAGCGGTAAAGTGGATGGGTGGATTATCAGCTACTGTATGACCTCCCTGAGCATTACCGCAATGCTGGCAGCACTGGGGCACAGCCCCACAGCAGTATATGCAGGGGCTGTGCTGTGATGACCCCTTTGCCTTCCCCATGAGTTCTGCCTCTCTTCCTCTGCAGCTGCAGCCTGCTGGCAAAGGTTAACTGATTACAGGTGGCTTGAGCAGTGCAATAGTCGGCCTAATGCTCAGCATGACTTCTGCCAAGCCTGGCAGCACA